AGTTTCATAGAAAAAAATCATTTTTTAATTACTGTTTTTGCAAAATTCAAGGACTGAACCAAAACAGTTTATTCACAGAACACTAGGAGACTGGGATTGAATCACACCAAATCAGCGATTAACCCACAAAACAGGATTTGTTAAATGAATGCCTTCTACTCCCCATATACATCCCTTAATAATTTATTTGGGGGCAGAAGGGATGAACATCTACACCCCTCCTGCCATAAAGTTATCCTGAGGTACACAAACAGCAGAAGAGCAGAAACCCATGGCAAAGCCAGAGGCACAACAAAATATAACTACTAACTCCTTCTTAGTGAATTTGGAACCCATCTTTAACAAATTGTGCTTAAGTTTCAAAATATTTTTTCATCAGCAGAACTTCAGATTTTTACAGATACTGAGAAACAGCACCTTCTGCGGTTTAGATCTGCAGTTCCTGCAGAGCACAAGACTGACTACCTATGGCATGTTACTAATACATTGTTGCTACTCAAAGGCCAGTGAAGGTTAAGAAACACTAATCCCGACATATCACCAAGCTCTCGGAGGACCAGCATTATTATACTGTAGATTTTATCAGTTCTAGCAGAGTCAGTTGCCCTCTGAGCCAGCCCCAACACAATGTTTTGTGATGAGATTACCCATGCTGCTGGAAATGTCATCTTTCATGTATGATATAAAACCCCTTCTGTAGCTACTAACAATACCCTGGCATTGTTTGCAACACATCGGGTGTTGGTCTGGCTAACATCCAATTCCAGTAATAATATTCTGTCTACCTACAGTAACCACAAGAAAATATTCTTCATTTTCAGCCCCAAGTGGTTTTGCAGCACAGCAGCAAGCCCTTAAAGAACTGCCATACTTCACTGCAAGTTCTGCATTTCACTGTGCATGTATCTGTCTGCACAGATCAGGCATTTATCCAAAACTGTAGAAACACCTTGAGATTACTGAGAATAAAGGAGCTCTTTTCATACAGCACAATTAGTCATATCAGCAGTGATAGCTATTTTGAGCAGCACCCATTAATCACTATCATTAGCAGGATTTCTGGTGTACCAGTATTCATTGTTCCAAGAACAAAGTCTTTTCCCATTACAGTACTACTATATAAACAAAAGCAGCAGCACAATTTCTCTTGATAATCTTGTTTTGAGTAACAGAAGACAAGTGGCAGCACTTAAAACTACAGTCAATTCAAGGTGTAAAGGGAAGCTCACTTATACCTTATAGGACAGCAAAAATACAGTTCTTTTGCTGTAAAATAAAACCGGCTGTCATTCGTACACTGGGGAAAAGGTGCTGAAAAGTAATAAATAGCGAGAAGTGGAGAAGATGATGCCCAAGAAGTGGAAGAAACCTAGACCTGTCTTTTAAACATGTGTAGCAAGTATTTTCACATTACTTTCTATGAAGGACTATTAATTTCAGAGTCTCAGAGGAGACTTTTGACTAGAAAAATATTCCCTATATACATAATCTCTAGTTTCCTAACACCTCATAGTAACTCCTGTTTCAGAATGAGAAACCAACAGGATTTATGCCTTACATTGACTTAGGAAGCAGTACCACCAGATGCATGGAAAGCAGCGGCTCTGTACTGCTTCCCACACAGTTCCTAACTCCCCAAAGATTTCACAAAGTTGCAGAAACATGTATGTTGACCAGCAATTCTTTACGAAAGAAGTGTCCAGCTTATCTTCTGTAGAAATGTTTCCCAGTAGAAGACTCCAGCCAAGCACAAAATTGAGTTGATTTTCATGATACACAAATAGCACCTGTGAACATACCAAGACAGGCCAACACTCCTGATCCCATGAGCTGCATACCAAAACTTTCATGGGGCCAGGAGCTATGCGACTCATACCTCAGAGAGGTGAGGGAAGGGAAGCACTTCTCAGGAAATTCAGCCACCCTTTGCCCATAGAAAACAACAGTTCCTCAAGAGCATCAGTGCCCCTTTGCAAGATAGCACTGAGCCAAGAAATCTGACAGCAACATTTTCCCTGATATCTTGATCTGAGATTATTCAACAGCCACACAAGCAGTTACAAGATGCAGTGCCATTTTGGGAACCAAGCCCCAGCCTCTTGCCAGTTGCATATGCCTCTGGAGCCACAGGCTGAGGGACTCTTAAAAGCGAAGCAGTGAACTGCAACTACACACACCTGATGTATGCTGCTCTTTAAGACACCCCAACATCTATTCCTCTCTAAACCCAATAATAACAGTGGCTGATTTATACCTGCAACAATGTTTATAATCTCACATAAAACAAATGAGATCTTTTAACTCCTTTCAAATTTCTAAGCCACCATCCACCTGATGAATATATACCTTCCCATCTCAAATGATAAAACCCCTCAAGCAGGGAAAAGAGAAGGTACAGTAGTGAAGTTTTAAGCTACAGCCCAAAATGAGCTACCCTCTTGTGCTTGCAATTACCATGAGGATACAACGCATTAAACATAAGGCTAGATAACAACAAAGAGCACTCTCAGTCAACATCAGGTGAAACACCCGTGCAAGCAAAAACCGCTGCAGTGGCCAAGAAGGAGACACTCCTACCCACAGGCCTTCGGGCCGGGGGGCGCGAAGAAAGCCCACCGCGGGCACCGTGGCGAGCTGTGCTTTCGCGAGCCCGACGCTACAGCTCTCCCGAAGGGCAGCTCCCGCCGGCACCGCCCGGGAGGCCCGGACGGACAGGAGGCCTCCTCACCGCGGGGGTCAGAGAGCGCCGCGCAGCCCTGAGGCGAGGCCTCCGCGGCGGGGTCTCTCGCAACGGGCCGACCGCCCCGGGAGGCCGCGGGTCACTATTTAGCAGGAAGGTGCGCAGGAATTCCCGCAGGCGCAGTCCCAGCAGCGCTCCCCGGGCTGCCCGCACTCGGGTCACGGCGGCGGGAATGGGAGACGTACGGGGCCGGGGGCGGCTGCAGCCTGGCCACCGCCCCGGGCTGCGCGCCCGCTCCGCGGTTACCCCCACCACCACAGGGAGAGCCCGGGCCCGCTGAGGGAGCGCCGCGACAAGCACCGGGCCGCGCCCCGGGGCACCGCCGCCGCCTTCCCCCTGGCCGGGGCTTCCCGCAGGCGCCGCCAGCGGCTCCTCCCAGCCCCTGCCGGTGTCCCCAGCCGCGGCCCGGGGAGCGTTCCCCCGAGCGGCCGCAGGGCGCTGGCCGCTCTCCGCGCCCCGTGCCTCTCGGCGCCCGGGGAGGGAGGAGCGGCGGTAGCGCCGTCCATGCCAGCCCGGTGCCTCGCACCGCCAGGGCCCTGCCGGCCGGGCTGCGGCCGGGGACAAGTCCTGTCCGCGGGGTCGGGGGAAGGCCGCCCCCGCCGCGGGAGCACGGGTTCAGCAGCGGCGCTCACTCACCTGCCCGCAACAGCCCCCACCGCGCGGCCAGCCCCGCTCTGTGTACTCCGGAAACGGTGGCTCCTCCGCCGGGCGCCGGGGAGGGGCCGGGCGAGGGGGCGGGCGGAGCCGCGAGTGACAGCGGGAAGGGGAAGGCGGGAGAGGGCGGGCGGCTGGCGGCGGAGGGGTGAGGGAAGGGCGGGGTGGTGGGGGGAAGAAGGGGGCAGAGTCGGCGCCGGGACCCAGGGGGCGCTGGGGCCGCTGGGGCCATGGATGGCGTAAGGGGACGAAAGGAGGCGAGGCGGGCGGCGGGGTTATCCCATTTAGGGGGTGACAGGGACCGCCCGGGAGGGGCCCCGGCTGTGAGGGGCGCAGGTGAGTGAGAGTGCGGCAAGGCGGGGCAGGGGAAGAAGTGGAGAAGGAAGAAAAATAATCAGTGAATATTTAATATCTGCTTAAAATAACGAGGTTTCTCATTCTGTTGTTCTGTGGTCAGGTGCAGCGTCCTTAGTAGTCTAATTTCTGATGGAGATCCTCAGTGGCACCTGCAAAGTGCAGTATTCATCTTTCCTTCAAAACCACTGGCTGGAGGAACTGCAGAATTCAACACTGCTGCTAAATGGACTTATGTGGGAATTAGGTAAAATGCACAACAACTATCTCAGATAGATCTGCTGGACATAATTTTCATGGTGCTGCTGGCTTTGGGAATTGCTCAGAAACAGGCCTAGTCTATGATGGCTTTGCTGTGTTTACACTGGTTTGTTATTATTTCTCAGGCTTATATTATGCAGAAAAGTTTGTTGCACAATACGATGCATTTTCAAATTACTTTTCCATTGGAATACTTATGTTAATCCTGTCTTAGGAGAAAGTGAACATTTTTTATTGCCAAGGCTTATTTATAATCTTGCATTTTAAATGCAATAAGAATTCAATAACGTACAGAAATGTCTGGTAGAAGTTATAAAATAAGGTAATATGTAATAGTAAGAGAGTAGTTAAAAATTTTTGCAATATACGTCAGCAAAAAATTTTGTCAGCGAGGCTAAGCATCTATTCATCTGGCTCTAATTCGCCCACAAAAAAAAAACCAAACCTACACACTTGGATCTGGTACTAATAAAGTGAAAATAATAGTAATTTCCACCAGTTTCAGTGTTGCTAATCAGAAAACTCCGTGGGAAGAAGTGAAATTGTCAATTTTTTGGACACCTTCTAGCCACACACTACAAATAGTTCTCAAGTAGTGTCTGCGGGGAGCTGCCTAGGAGCAATCTGTGGCTTTGTTTCCTTCTCATAACAGATGGTGGCTGGCAGACTGGACTTCTTATCAGTGTCTTCCCTCCAAACTTTTCTTATTCTTGCATGTGTGCTAAGCATGTCTCAATTAAGAGATACCTAGGAAATACTTGGATAGACACAACCGAACAGAAGGCTGCCGTATTGTTGGCTCCTTCAAGAGGGAGGGATATCTGAGTATTTTTTGTACTGGCAGAGTGCAGTAAAGGGCTGGAGAAGGTGCCTTTTTTGGTTTTGTTTTTTTTCTTTCTTTTATGTTTTTAATTAAATGGTAGATGAAAGATTGACTTAAAAAATGATTAAAAAGACTCCAACAAGGTTTCAACAGGTTTTTAATAGGAAGGGTTTCAACAGGTTTTTAATAGGAAGGAAGTACAGGTATGAAGTGAAAGACCTGAGTCTGGAGGAAGTCAGAAGGAACTGGAAAGGAAGGGAAAGAGAAATTAAAATACTGAGATGGATTGTCCTTCCTCCCAGGCCAGATACTGAGGCTACACCTTAAAAGAAGACCAAAAAAGCTCACAAAATGCCGCCTTTTCATTTTTTCGTTTGGTTTTTTTCAAGGAATGGAGAGAGACTAGCACATCTAGACAGATACATATTCTTAGAGGTACTTATATTTCCTGTCCTTGGGAAGCAGAGTGGCCAGTCTGGAGCTTCTTATCTGCAAGCAGATATCCAGGAACTGAGGTCTTGCTCTTGTGCTGAGGTTGCATCACATTGCAGCGCAGAGCAGTGTCTGGACCAGTCGTAGCAAACCATTAGGAGTAACTAAGGCAAACATTACCTCTCGCACATGAGTCTTGTTGCATGTCCAGTCCAGACCTGTCCAAAAAGAAATCTAGAATCTCTGGTGAGCCATGGACATTTCTCACCTGCAGAAACCCTTCTGCTCTCCAAGCTGTGTACCTTGTGGTTCTTGGTCATATGCAGGGCATGATATGGTGCTCATGGGATCACAACAATCTCCTGCTGATGAATTGATGACAAATTACGTTGCACTAGCTGATGGCCAGCCACCAGAACTTTTTTTGACAAAGCTAGGTGTTTTACCAACATGCAGTTTTATCAATAGATCCCAAAACTACACGAGCCATGCTGACATCTCACAGGCAGAAATTTGTTCTACCAACTTAGTCTTACAGTTCAATACAATGCAATACACAAACGTGTCCTTTCACACTATCAGGAGGTCTCTAAATCTGTTCCCTATTTTGTTATCCTAGTGATTTAATTGTATTCCATGGATCTGTGCAGAATTTGGTTCTGTTGGCACTTTCAGTGGAGTTAACACACAATAAGCATATTTTTTTTATTTGACTTGCTTGGTTTATTTACATATAATTTTTTTACAGTGCTGTGTAACAACTTTTAACACATTCTGCCTCTAAAGATAAGAGACATTTCATTTGAATTTTATTACAGATGAAGTTTATAGATTAGGAGCATAAAGGCGCAGAGGACTGGTAAGAATCCTAGCCTTAAAGATAATACTTAGACTGAGAAATAAGTAGGAAGTTCACACTTTTTAATATAAACAGGGTATGAAACATTCAGTACAGTAGAAGCACATAATGCAGAATAAAGAGGAAACTCTTAAGGACAAGAAAGTACGTAGTATAATTATCGTGACATTAAAATTATTTTTCTGAATGCTTACAATGCTATGTTTATACTCAACAGTCTGATTTTTTATTTTGTGAATTCTAAATATTTTTGAAAGGTGGTGGTATGCTTAACTATTTAGTAAAACCATATGTAAATCAGCATAGACTACAGGTATTCAGTTATGATTTTCATAGTGATGTTACGTGTACGTGAAAAGTGCTTTCCATGACTTCTGTTGAATAGGAGGGGAAGGAAACCAATGCACTGTTTAAACAAAAAATGTAACAATGTTGTTTAGACAGAGAGGAAAGCAGCTTTGAAATGTATTATGACTACAACTTGATGTCATGGGCTGTAGGAGGAAGAAATCATTAGCTTGGAAAAAAAAGCACTGGCACAATAGCCATGTGCAAATGTTAATAAGGAAATGCGTATCAGCAAGGTGTGGGATAAGATTAGGAGGATGAATGTTAGTTATAAAATCCCTCAAGAGTGTATTGTCTTGTTAAAGGAAAAAGCTCATCTACAAGAGGTTGTTGTTTCTGTTAATCAGATAGAGATATGTTTAGGGAAAGGAAATGTGGGAAAAACTGGGGTGATTTTCAAAAACAGGTTTGATCACTAATGTCCTATTGTACCAGCAGCAATTTCCCCTTTGTGGTTACTAAATAGTGTGAATGCTGTAGCAATGGGATGGTTGAAGTACAGGAAGAGCAGTAGTGTTGCATTAATATTTGGACTGTATATTTGCAGTTGGAGGGTGAGAAGTAACAAAAATGCAACTTTAGATCTAGCTATGTTATACAGTTTGTACAGTATGTCACAGTCCTCGTGGCTGGTAGCCTAACTCCCTCTTGCTGTCTGCGTGTTTGACAATGCAAGCATACACGTAGGCAAGTAAGACTTCTAAAAATACATTTCACAGATCATCCATTCCAGCTGTCAGGGTGAGAACAGTTCTGTCCTGCAGCCCTGAACAACTAAAATCCTATCTCAGACAAGTGAAATTTAGTTATTTGCTGCCTGACAGGAAAGCTGCTGACCTATGCTTTATACCCCTCAGTACATTGATGGACCACTGTGTGAAACCTGAGGCTTAAAATGGGTACTGGCCTCTCTCCCAGCTTCTTTGCAAATACTACCAAATGGCAAAAGAAATGCAAGGTTAGAGCCCTAAACCTGCTGATTGGAAAAATTCTTGCCCATTACCTCCATGGAGTAACTCCAACTTTGGAAAGAGTGAACATGACTGACTATATACGGCCACCTAAAAATGAGAAAAGGGACAATCACCTCTTCTTGTCAGACAAATCAAAGGTATAGGTCACCTTAAAAAAATCCAAGGCTGCAAGCCAACAATACTAGCTATAAGGAAAATAAATACACACGCACACACATATATGTATAAAAATCTCTTAATCCTACATGGATCAGCCCAGTTTTGATCAAAGTGAATGGAGGCCATTAACTTCAGTTGACGTTGGATGTGTCCCATGACCTTCTGCTTTATATATATAGACTCCCCATACTAATCTTCTCTTCTACAGGTCTGATGTCATCACCATGATTATAAGCAGAACTTATCTCTTGATTGACAGCAAATAACCTTTCCAAAAAGTAGCTAATGAGTAAGAATGTTTTATAAGAGTGACACATGATCATGACTGCCTGCAGTCCATTTTTATTTACAGGCAGTGGAAGAATTTTTCATATTTCTAAGGTCAGTGTCCCTAGTCCAGAGATGAAGGAGAAGATTTTTGTTTTTAAATTGCTGTTCTGCCTAAAAAACTCTCCTCCATTTGTGCTGAAGGGGAGGAGTAGTCTCTAAAATTCTGTTTTAACCAGCTAGATGGGCACAGGAATGGACTTTTCGCAACTGCATGCACAAAATGGTCATTGGCATTTCATATTTTTGCTTTAGGAAGTCAACTGTTCAAACACACATATAATGTTTTCTGAATGTCTGGTGATTCAGATGTCTGGGATCTTATTTTGCTTGTTTTCTTGAAAACTTTCAAAAAAAAAGAATCGGCTTGCAAAACCACAAAAATGTACTTCTAAGCCAGCTGTGGTAAAATAGTTTGCATGGCCATCTAAATACTGGAGAGGTTTTTATAAAGAAAAAAAATTATTCTGATGACTAGCAAGTGATTATGAATTCATTATTAGTTAGCCATTAGCAGTTGGCTTATAAGTGTTCAAAGTATGCAGCACACATGGAGCTATTGAGAGAATACTTGTGAGACACAAAGAACTGTTGTTGACATTTTGTAATACTAGATCTGAGACGACTGTTATAAAACAGATACGCTGTAAATGTGTGAAGGAGAACCAGACTGGTTTCTGTTGGTTTTGGTTTGTTTTTTTTGTTTTTGTTTTTTTTTTCCACTTAAAAATAAATATGGCATTTAACTGTATTTCATTATAAGGTTGTAACTAAAAGTAAAACATAATTCTACATACTTGACCCAACTTATTAAATAGGGTATTTAGGGCTTCTAATATCATAGAGTCTAAACACTATTAAAGAAGTGAAAAAAAAATTATAATTAATTCTAGAACATAAACAGATATAGAAAAATAGTATCCCTCATACTAAATGTTTGACATTAGAGGCCACCTGCCAGATTATGGTTTGTTTGTTTGACGTGGTACGATGGATTGCAATGTGTTATGTGTATTTTGGATAACAGGATTTGACATTTTTAGTGTCTTATACTGGACATATAATTCTTATTTTAATGGTCTATACTAAATATGTTACTATATGAATGGTGACTTCTGAATTATTTATTTTAAGTCATAGCAGCCTCCCAGTATCTGAAGGGGGCCTGTAAGGATGCTGGGGAGGGACACTTTATTAGGGACTGTAGCAATAGGACAAGGGGTAACAGGTTAAAACTTAAACAGGGGAAGTTTAGATTGGATATAAGGAAGAAGTTCTTTACTGTGAGGGTGGTGAGGTTCTGGAATGGGTTGCCCAGGGAAGCTGTGAATGCTCCATCCCTGGCGGTGTTCAAGGCCGGGTTGGACAGAGCCTTGAGTGACATGATTTAGGGTGAGGTGTCCCTGCCCATGGCAGGAGGGTTGGAACTTGATGATCTTAAGGTCCTTTCCAACCCTAACTATTCTATGATTTTATGTTCATATAAATAGACATAAAAATGTTTCTAAAGATATATATAAATATTTGAAGTGGTCTAGAAAGAAGCCTAAATGGTAAAGAATTTCCATGTGGTAGTTCTTGCAGCACTGGATTGTCACAGGGGGACTGATCAGGAGACTGACTGCTATTGCATTGCCTTAGTTTCTTTTAGGGCACTGTAACAAAGGCAACTGAATTCCACTGCCTTAGTGGTACTGTTATTACCTTTTGCCTATATGGATTATTTTGTATCATGGCAAACTGCTCCATAAGGAGTAATGTTGTAATGGAGAATGTGGAATTATGAAAGTAAGTTAAACAGAAGGATAACAGAAACATGTGAGGCAGTATCTCATGTATGAAACTAAATTACTTCATAACATACAGAAAAGTGTAGTGGATAAAACTGTGGTCTGATGCAGGCATGGCATGCAAATGAACTAGTCTTTTCTCTAGAGTTTCTTAAGTAATTACAGAAATACTGAAATGCCCAACTGGGATTGGGATTTAAGCAATCCACTTAGAGGAAGGCATTTCTCAGGAACAACAAAATAAAAGACTGACAAAGCTTCCTTCATAAATGATTCCTGCTAAACCCCTCAATACAGAGCCTCTTTTGAGTGTCCTGTCCAAACCAGTCCAGGTCTAGTGGTGACATCATGAAATGTGAGATGCTTATGAGCTAGTCTCTGGCCACGATGGAGCTTTGGCCACCTGTCTGTCCTGTGCTTCAGAAGATATTCAGGATGTTGACAGAGAAGAGTGGGACTTACCTACTAAAACTTGGCAACTCGGTCTCATTTGTTTTCTGAGGACCGGTGCAGCTAGCAATCCTTGATTGGCTGTGTACCATTTTCCTCTGGCTCCAGCAGGAAAGCCAGAGTAGCTGACCTCAGTGGCTGGTTTCAGGTTCTTGATTTGTTTAGTCAGCTTGTGGTGCTTTCATACTTGTCTGTAACTGCTGCCAAGAGAGTGTTTAGTTTGCTTGCATTGTGGTCCACCTCCTGGGCCTGGTTTTCCTTAAGAAACCTGAGATCAGGTTTGAGCAGCTCACTCTCCTCATCACTAAACTAAAGCTGATGGTACAGTGTGCAGTGATGATTTGTTTGTTTGCTTGCTTTTTAAGCTTCCTTAGTCAAAATGATACAAAAGTGGCTGAGTTATTAGATGCAAACATCCCACACCGCTGGACACATGCCAGGAATGCAGGAGCAGGTCTGAGAACATTTACGGTTCACTCTACTGTTGCCTTTTTCACAGCCCAGAAATTCCTCTGTTGGATATTTGTTTGCCTTAAGTTTAAGGGCTACCAGAAATTATTTCTCAGGCATTTCACAATAATTC